GGGGACCAGCCGAGTGCCAGGCGCTGTGTACACCCCCCACCGCCTGTGCGGTGTTGCTCAGCTCAGCCCCAGCTTCATCGCTGAGTTCGGTTCCTGGCGGCCATGTTTCCGGGCGTTAGCGAAAGAGGGGTTCTGGGGAGTGTGGCGAGGTGTCCCCAGAAACAAGGTCCTCCCGGAACGCCTGTGGGAACCCAAACATCAGGGCCGGCGGCTCTTGTCCAGTCTGTCCAGGTGTCGTGGCTCCCCCAGAGCGGGCTCCGGCTCCCATCCCGCCCCTAGGCCCCGTGTGGCGGGCGCCCCCAGAACATCTTGGGGACCCTGCTTGCCAAACCCAGCCGTCTCGTGCCCCCATTCCCCCCCCCCAACCCCCACTCCCCAGAACTGTCACCAGCAAACCTGTGACCCCAGGGCAGCGACTGATGCCTCACCATCTAGCAGGGGCAGCCGCCCTGCTCCCCATGGTCCTGGCCTCCCTGGCACTGCAGTGGGTGCCCTCTCTGAGGGTGGGTGGTGCTGTTGCGAGGGGACTCGAGGCGAGGGCAGCAGCGCAGCCAGCAGTGGGCGGCTTCGAGGGACAATTCCACCGAGAACTTCGTGTCAAATACATCCTCCACCAGAGTCCAGGGTCAAAACGTCGGATTATTGTTATTCTTTCGTTTATGGGAAGAAAATACAAAATTCTTGTTCTTAATATCATTTCTGAAACTTGGAGTCAGATGCCAGCTGTAGCCGCAATGCGCCTGCCCCAGCTAACGGGACAGTGGCAGGGGCCTGCTTTGGCGTGTGTGTGCGGGGGAGGTGTGTCTGTGTCTGTGTCTGTGTCTGTGTCTGTGTGCCAAGAGAAGTCCTTGAAACTGCACCGGACCGTGCCTCCACCTCTGGGTCTGCCTGTCCATCTCTGCTGACCAGGGCCCCGGCCCTTCCCTGAGCCGAGTGGAGGCATCGCGGGCGGGACAGCACCGGTTTCCTCCCCGGGAGAGCTGCTGGCGCCCCCTCCTCAGCTGGGTTTGTACCACGACGGAGTATTGGCCTCCCTGTGTCTGTGGGTCTGGGGGCCACAGGCCAGGCAGGCTCTGCCAGCGGCTTTCCTCCTGGTTCAACCAGACCATCCACATGTGAGACCCGGGAGAAGTCAGGGGTGCTCAAGGCCCAAGTTTCTGTCTTAGACCGTTCGCTGCCACAACGAAATGCCGTAAACTGGCGGCTCAAAGAACAGAAACTTCTCAGTCCTGGAGGCTGGGGTGGGGGGGGTCCCGAGATCAAGGGACCAGCAGATTGGTGTCTGAGGTCTACTTCCGGTTCATAGACATCATCGTGCTGCGTCCTCACGTGCAGAAGGGGCGAGGGGTCTGAGGGGTCTGCGGTGTCTCTATTAGGGCACTGATCCCACTCCCCAGGGCTCCACCCCGTGACCTCATCACCCCATGTAGGGCTTAGGATGTCAACACATGAATTTGGGGGGACAGGCACCCTCAGACCACAGTTCCCTAACCCAGTGCCTGTGCCTTTCAGAGCAGGAAGTGGGGGCTGCTGTGGACTCTGTGAGCTCTGAGCACTTGCATCAGGGCCTCGGGGCGGGACTTCCCCCGTTTCCTGTCCTGTGATAAGGGATCGTCAGGGGCCCTCGCCGCTGACGGGACGCCAGAGGGTCCGGGAGCTGGTGCAGAAGAGGTGACTACCTACCGCTGCGCCTCTGGGCAGCCTGAGCGGATTGGTCCCGTGTCCTCCGTGGTCAGTGGCCAGGAGGGGAGCCGAGACCTCGCCCACAGAAGCGGCTCCTGGAAAGGGTGCAGCCCCGAGGACCCGATGAATCTGCGAGGTGTGGGCTTTCCTGATGAGCCAGCGTGGAAACGGCACCGCGGGGCCCTCGCGGCTGTAACAGCCAGAAAGGGAGAGGATGCTGCGAGGACCGCGAAAGCCTCACGGGCAGCCAGCAGGCAGACTGGCAAGTGCCACTGCCTCTCGCCCATCCTCCCGGCGTTCCTGTGGCTGAGCAGGTGGGGTGTTGTCGGGGAGGAACAGACCCCAGGCGTAGGGAACGGACACAACAGTCTGCGTGCGTCACGGGAGAGATCTAGCTGCCGCGGGGGCGGCCATGCCGCACAGCATCTGCGGACACGTGTGCCCTGTGCCCGTGGAGAACTCGGAACCAAGTGGCACGGTGGGTGTGCAGTCCCCCCGACCCCGCTGCTCCACGGAGCCTCGGAAACACGGCAGAGTCGCCCGGGGCCCCGCCCCGTGCCCACGCTCACCGCCGCAGAGCCCTAGGTGCCTCGGAGCCGAGCTTGTTGGACAGCGAATCGCAGCGAGTGTACAGGTGCGGCTGCAGGGCGGGCGGCTGTCTGCTCAGCTCCCCTAACTCCTCGTAATTCGGGGTCACGTCTGACTGTGCAGCCAGGAGGAGGAAGGAGACAGAGCAGAAGCAGCAAAACTCAGGCTGCTGAGCCGCCCGGAGCTCTACACAGGGAAGTGTCACCGGTTCTAATTAACTTATCTGACAACCACAACAACCCAGGCAACAAAGCCAGCGGGCCCACCACGGTCCCAGGAGGCCGCGCTGCCGAGCTCGGCCCAGGACTCGGACGTCCTTCCGGCAGGAGCCCCGGGTGCCAGGCCTCTGCCGCCTCCTACTCCAAACAGCTGCCTGGGAGGTCGTGGGCCTCCCGTGGGGAGCCAGGGGTGACACCTCCACACCTGGGCAGGCCTGGGCCAGCGAGGGGCTGCTGTCTGCTGGGCTGGGGACCGGCCTTTTCTGCCTCTGAGGTCCCCCAGTGA